CCCCAAAACCCCAAAACCCCAAAACCCCAAAACCCCTCTTGAAATCATCTAAATTGAGAGACTTGCTTATAAATATATAGAAAGAATGAATCAAGGTAGAAGAAGTAGCTACACCAGCTTAATATTCATATCAGTGCTCCTCCTCTGATACTTCGGACAAGGATTCGGAGACGATCGCGTGCCTAGATGAGGATTCCGTGGTGGTTGTGTTAGAGACGGAAGTCAGCAAGGCCAGCCTTGCCCTGATCCCTCGAACACTGAGGTTCCTCATAGAGAGATTTCAAGTCCAAAAATGCTAACTACTTCTGCACAATATATAAAACAGATCTGTCCTTATCTAGTAGGACAGGAGACTTGCTGTGATGACGATCAGGTATTGTTAATGTACAACAATTTCAAGACTATTGACTCCTTGTTTGGAGACTGTTCCCTCTGCTCGACGAACATCAAAAGATTCTGGTGAGAGTACACATGTAGTGTGTATCAGGACTATTTTGTTGACTCTTTCGAGCAGGAAAGAGTTGAAGAAGTAGACTTCCCCGTTCTTATCCAGAAAGTTCGGGTAGAGAGCAGCGTTGTCTGAGACCTATACAATTCCTGTAAGAAGAATCCCTTCGTTACATCACTGGCTAGTGGGCAATCAGCAGTCGGATTCTTAGAATTCATGGGCTCAAATGCTGTTCAGACTGGAAAAGTTAAAATTAGTTTTGATTTTACTAATGATCCTGAAGACACCTTGTTTATGGACATGTATCCATGAGATCTTGATGTGGACGGAATCCTAGATGGGTATAAGGTCAAACAGTGCACTTGTAACTACTGAGAAGCAGCCTGTACACCTGTGAAGGGAAGTGCTTTTCCCGGATTTTTCGATGGCTTTAGCATAATAATCATCGTAATAGTCTATGTTTCGCTTGTTATATTATCAATCATAATCTTTTTTGTTAAGAAAAAGTGGTTGTCCAGCGATGATGAAGAGGAAACCTTCAGTGAGGACGGTAATGACTCTCAAAGAGACAACCTACTTAACGGTAGCAAAGACTCTAATACTTTCTTGTTTGGGTCGGATCAGAATAATACTATATCCCATGGAGCCTCAATTGGGAAAATCAATAAATCCTCTATTGACAAAAGTGTTGATAGGAGCGTAAATGTTGGCAATTAGTACGTCAATTTAATGTAAAATCAAGATAATTTCAATTAGAAAAGTAATGGAAGGGGTTTTGGGGTTTTGGGGTTTTGGGGG